GTTTCTGGATTGAAATGCAAGAATTTGACGCAATTGTGTTCAACGATTAAGGCGAATCAGAGGCCCAGAGGGGAGAGAGCGCAGCGGTTTGGGCGATGAGTTAGGGACTTAGGGTTCGGAATTTTTATTTTTGTTTTTATTTTATTTTTCGAGTATTTTGGTTTTGGGCCAATACAAATAGTTAGGGTTAAGGATTGGAGATTGAGGACTTTTAAAAGTTTGGGGAAATGATTTGGTGCTGGGTGTCACAGCCACACCGGTGTCGGGGATTTTTTTATTTATTGCAATTTTAAATAACAAACTATTTCGTTCTTCTTTTTCTTTTTTTTCTTTTTTTTTTGTTACAACAAACTATTTAGTACTTACCCAAACAGCTTTTTTCTGCATATATATTGTCATGTGTATTATATACCTGGCTTTTTCCCACAAATATTTCTTTGCTGTGACTTCCCTTCATGTCGATGTAAGATTCAAGAGGTACAGTGAATCTAAAATTTGATGAATTTGGATAAAAATTGTTTTCCTATTGCTAGATTTTTGTTGACCAAAAATATTATGCAGTAAATAAATCTTCGCCTAAGATAATTTCAGCATTATCCCTTACAGATAAAAGTTATAGCACCTATTAAAGACGAAGTGTCTCTTAATTACAATATCTTATTACAATATAATATCCTTTCATTCCAATATGAATAAAATGTAATTGCCAACCAAAAGAAAGAATAAACGTAATTGAGGGTGTTTCAGCATAGTTGTAATATAGTCGGGCCAAGCCCGATATCTGACAAATGAACTATCTTTTGGGCTCAAGTTATGTTCAATCGGCCATAAATTTATACGAATGGCTAGACTCGGACTTTGTATGTTTGTTTGATATTACGACGTTATATAGGTCAAACCTACATTGCTTACATATCCTTTGAAGGATCAAGCCACCCATAGTTCTTGAATAGTTATTGAGATTTTCAAGGGGTGAATGACTTAGGGATTCGATTGGAATGAATGTAATTAAGTTGAACCAGACATTCAATTTGGTGTTGCGGTTACATCTAGATTATATCAAGATTGCCTAAATACTCTTTAACATATCAAACTTTATGTAGTTCAAAGATGTTTGATTGAGTGAATTTAGTATTGAAATGAGAATTTATTTGGGCTATATTTTGAAGGGGAAAACTAAAGGAATATACACAAATTGACAAATTAAATAGAAGTAACATGTCCAACAAAACCAGTCACTTGCTTATGTAGGACTAGCGCATCACATCATCACTTGGGTTGTTGGTAATCAAATCTTTACTTAGTATGAATCTATGAAGCCCTAATCCAAGATTCACTCAGAAAGCGTGCATGCTAGCATTGGCATACCTTGATGTAGATAACACAAGTTTAATCCACAATTAATACCTCAAATAGATAAAATAATGTGAGTAGATCTCTCCTAAATCAATATATAAGATTTTACACCATTACGAAACATAAAGAACCTCATCTCGGTAAATAGGCCCGAAAACACAAAAGTGGTAGAGAAATGCTAGCAACCTTCTCTCCAACCTTCTCTTTTGGACCTTCTCCCTTCTCCTCATGACAAGTGTCACTTTCCTTACACTTAAAACAATGTCATTAATTCATCACACAAGTTAGTTTTTGTTTTCCAAGTTTACCCTTTTAAAATGCATTGGCTTCTATATTTCCTTCAATTTATTCAAATTTTGTTACAACTTCTTTAGCACATTATTAAAAATTAAATAATAAAAAAACATAAGAAAAATGTCATATTTAAAAATATAAAAAAATAAAGTTCATTTCATGACATTGTTATCATCTTTATTTTGTTTATAACAAAACACACGTTCTCTTTGGAAATTTTTTTTTTATAAAAAACTTCAGTTTTTATTTTCTTATTTAATTTTTTAACAAGATGGTAAGAAAGTTGTAAAAAAATTAGCTTGTTATTAAAAAAAATTAATACATTTAATAAGAGTAAACTTGGAAAACAAAAACTAGTTTGTGTGATGCATTAATGACATTGTTTTAAGTGTAAAGAAAGTGACACTTGTCATAAGAAGAAGGGAGAAGGTCCAAAAGAGAAGGTTAGAGAGAAGGTTGCTAGCACTCCCCAAAGTGGTAATATCGCCATATAAAGACATGATAAAGATAGCAAATAGGTCCCACAAAAGTCCTAAACCCTAGAATCATAGGTTCAGCGTTTACGAACCTCGAATTTCCAAAACGTAAGTTCCAACAATTGAGTCTCTATAGACACAAAATCATACGATATTCACTTAAGGTTTCACATTCAAACGATCAAATCTCATAAGCCTAACTTAGCTATAGGTTCATAAGCGTATGTATATCTTAGCGTGTAAAACAATACTTATAGGGAACATTTTGGAGGGAGATTGACAAGGAAGAGGAAGGTGAGTTGGGGGAGAGTCGTAAATTCATATATACTCTGTCGACCTTGCCCCTGCTGCTTTGTGCTTTTGCAGATTTTGGAGGTTGGTACTTGATCTATCTTGTTCTCTCTGTTGTGGAGATGTGGAGCTAGTAAATGTGGATGGATATACAAAAAAAGGGTGCTTTGGGATCATGAGTGGATTTGGAGATGCAATGACATTTTCTAGAATGCTATTTGCTTGTGTTTCCTATCCAAAGATATTTCAGAATTTGTTTTCTGGCATGGTCTTCATGAAGCACTGGGTTGCAATTTCTATAGGTCCTTCTCATAGGTCTTCAAGTGAGCTGGTTTTCAAGTTCTGGAATTTCGTTGCTCACTCTCTTACATTTGATGTGTTGTATTGTGTGTTTTTTTTTGGTTCTATGATGCAAGAACCCCCCTTTGGGGCTATGTTATGTTTGTTTTATCTTGTAACTTTCCTAATTCTTATCGAATCAAACTTGTTTCACAAAAAAAACTAAACTAAGGGGTGTAGTTGATCCGATTCCAATTCATTATTCCCTTATTCTTGAGTTCCATGATTCATCATTTCGCATGTTCCTAGCAAGTAAAAATATATATGATTCCATTTAGTGTCAGTGCATTTATACACATTTAAAGCAATATTAACCATTGAACTAAACTAATGAATTTTAATTAGTCCACGTCAGAGTCTCCTTGCACCTTATTATGTGTATCTAATACCTATGAAATAAGTTTCAAATTTTTTGCCAACAGGTCTAGCTTAGTGGAAAAGGGCATTGACTTGCTTACCAAAGATCTCAGGTTTAAAGTCCCATGACTTCTTAGTTGTGTGCATATGTGTTAGAAATCCCCTCCCATGTAATTATCACTTGTACTAAAAAAAATTTACCTATGAAATAAAAAAATTTAAAAAATTATCTCAGCAAGCATCAACCACCCCCCTTCGACCCAACCCCTACTCCCAACCCCCACTCACGCCCCTTGCATTCCATGGCTGCCACTCATAACCTTATCTCTCTCTCTCTCTCTCTCTCTCTCTCTCTCTCTCTCTCTCTCTCCCCTCCATGTGCCATCCATGTTCTTATTATCAAATCTTGATCTTTAACATATAACAAGTACTGCAAAACTAAACTAGCAAATTCATAAATGAAAAATAATTTGCAATCATTATTGCAATCGAAAATCTTACTAGCTAGTGAGGAAGGTGTGTGTAAAAAGAGTATGGGTAACATCAATTGGCAGCGCTGTGCAGGGATTGGGTCGGGGTGGAGTAAAACTTCCATGTAACATGTTTTCTAAGCCTTTCTGTCTATCTCTCTCATGTGATAAGAGAAAGGTGTATGAAACATGAGATATGCAAGTTTTTTTCGTTGTGGAGAGAGGTGGTTGTTGCTTGATGACACTTTTTAACTTTACTTTTTTTTATTTCAAAGGCATTGAATACATACAATAAGGTGCTAATGGTGTGTTTTAGTATAATATAATTATGCTGATATGGATTGGCTAAAATTTATTAGATTAATCTAATAGTTAACATTTCTTTAGATAGTATAAAATCACCGATGCTAAATGCAGAGACTTTAGAAGTAAACATGCTTAAATTGTTATGTTCGTTGTTCCTTGCATGTTAGAGCAGTTTTAGTGGGAGGCGCTAGCCCTCTTGTTTCCAACAACCAAGGCTTGCCTGGGCAAGCATTGGGCTTCACCAGCCCGGGCAAGGACCAAGGCAAGACTTGCTGAGGCTGCTGTTGGGGCAAGATGACTTAATGCTGATGTCATTGTGACGTTAGTAGCCAATTTAAATGACAAAAAATTGAAAGAAAAATACCAAAAATTTCAGAATTTTTTATTTTATAAATACCTAGCCATATTCTTCACTTCCCACACCAAAACTCTATACAAATTCCTCTCCTCATATTTCATGTGAATAGTGGTTGCCTTTGGGTTGCCATGGCAATGGGTGGAAAACTAACAAAAAAATTCTTAGGGTAGGCATTATTCATGTGAATGGTAACAATCCTTGCCTCCCTTTGCCTTTTGCCATGGCAAGGGCAATTACTGTTCATATAAATAGTAACTACGTAGCAAATTTTTTTTGGGGGTGCTTTTTCACCCATTGCCATGGCTACCCAAGGGTAATTACTATTCATATGGGATTAAGTTTATTTATATGTATGAGATTAATAAATAAAAAAAATTGCTAGGTATCTAAATTTATTTTTTGAACTTTTCATAAATTTAAAATAAAAAATTCCATTTTTTTATTCGCTGACATCAGCGCCAGAGAGCAGGAGCTCAGGCTCATCTTGCCTTGGCCCTTGCTCGGGTTGGTGGACCCTATCTCTAGACATGGCAAGAATTGAACGATGAAACTACTTTTGGAGGCCTAGGGGTCCTTTTGCTTGGGCTGAGCTCCTGCGGTGAAACTGCTCTTAGAAGTCCTAAATACAAAATAATTCTATGTAAAAAAGGCAAAACTATCACTCAAAATATGTGTAAAAAATCATTAATAAAAAGAAAATAATTGTTTTAAATAAAATAAATGTTTTGATCGTTTTAAAACTAGCCTAGGGGTAAAACTAGTATAGAGAAAGAAATTTCTTCCTACCTAGTAACCTTTGAGGAGGCCAAACAAAAAACGGCAGGCACGCTCCTACACAAGTAAATTTGTAACATTCCTGATTCAGATTCATCGCCTTTGAAACCCATCCATCTCTTAAACACTCACTCCACAACATAACAAACCAACTTCCAATTTCTTCGACAATTCAGAGTCTCTCCTCTCTCCCCTCTCTCTCTGTCTCTCCCTTGCGAATTGCGGTGACCCCTTTTCTCTCTCCTTTCTCAAGGGGTCGTCGCCCCCTCTCTCCACTCTCCTCCTCTCTCCCCAGAAAAAAAAATAAAAAAACTCAAAAAAAATCAGAAAAACAAAGGCACACTTCGAATTCCAATTCCAATCCGATCAAACCCCAAAACCCACCAAAAAAATTCGTATTTTGAGGAGCTGAGACTCATAAGAAATGTCGGAGATGGCGAACACAGACCCGGAAGGGATCGACGGAGTGCGGATGACGTGGAACGTTTGGCCACGCACCAAGGTGGAGGCCAGCAAGTGCGTGATCCCACTCGCCGCCTGCATCTCCCCGATCCGGGCCCACCCCGACATCCCCACGCTCCCATACGCGCCGCTGCGCTGCAAGACCTGCTCCGCCGCCCTCAACCCCTTCTCGCGCGTCGACTTCACCGCCAAGATCTGGATCTGCCCTTTCTGCTACCAGCGTAATCACTTCCCGCCTCACTACGCCGCGATCTCCGAGACCAACCTCCCTGGCGAGCTCTACCCTCAGTACACAACCCTCCAGTATGCTCTGCCGGCCGATTCAGCCGCCCCTCAATCTCTGCCATCGCCGGTCTTCGTCTTCGTGCTTGACACGTGTATGATCGAGGAGGAGATGGGTTACGTCAAATCGGCGCTCAAGAGAGCAATTGGGTTGTTGCCCGATAATGCGCTTGTTGGATTTTTGTCGTATGGGACCCAAGTTCAGGTTCATGAATTGGGGTTCTCTGATTTGTCCAAAGTGTATGTCTTTCGGGGGAGTAAGGAGATTTCGAAAGAACAGGTTTTGGAGCAATTGGGTCTCGGCGTTTTGGGCCGGAGACCTGGTCCGGTTGGTGGAGGGTACCAGCCGAAGGGGGTTCAAAATGGGTTTCCTAATGCGGGTGTGACCCGTTTCTTGTTGCCTGCTTCGGACTGTGAATACACTCTTAATACGGTAGGGGCTTGAATGGATCGGCTTGCGTTGTGTCAGTGATTTTATTAAATTGTGAAATTAATTGTTCATTTCTGATAATTGGGTTTGAATTGTTTTGAATTTTCAGTTGTTGGATGAATTGCAAAGCGACCAGTGGCCTGTGCCACCTGGAAATCGGTCGTCCCGGTGCACAGGAGTGGCGTTGAGCGTTGCAGCCGGTTTGCTTGGAGCTTGTGTGCCTGGAACGGGGGCACGCATTGTAGCGTTGGTTGGGGGGCCATGCACAGAAGGGCCTGGCGCGGTAAAAACCTTATCTTTCTGTTTGCTTTGTAGTTTGATGTTCTTGCATGCAAATGTTAATCTAAATGTTTATCATTACAAAAGTTAACGGTATTTGTGATCAGCCTCAGTTTAGGTTATTACACATGTCTATGCTCCTGATTATTCAGATATGCAAAATTGTTTTTCTTTTGCTGGTCTTAATTGCTTTCCAAATGCACGACCTCTTTTCGCAGATGACCTTTTAAATTGTGGTGATTGCTTTTCTGGGATGAGGTGCAATTGTAAAATTTACGTCTTTCTAATTAGTAATTACTTTGCAAATCTACAATTTTTGTGCATTACGGAGTGTAGTAATATTGAAGGACATGGGCCATCACGTGCTTATGATCTCTTAATTAAATAAATGGAAGCGATGTAATTTTTCCCAAATTCCGGATGAGAAGATATTGATTTTGTGAAAATTATGCAGATTGTATCCAAAGATTTATCAGAACCAGTACGTTCCCATAAAGATCTGGATAAGGATGCAGCACCATACTTTAAGAAAGCAATCAAATTTTATGATGGTCTTGCGAAGCAGCTGGTTAGCCAGGGTCATGTCTTAGACCTGTTTGCATCTGCACTGGATCAGGTCTGTCTTGTTCAGTCTTTTGATTCAGTCATTATTCCTGCATTTTTGGACTGTTTCACACTGTCATATTGAGATCAGCAATTAAACAAATATTTGTGTTATAGATACTAAACCCCAACCAAAGACGAACTAGTGCTCATGTTCCTGTTTGCACTTGGTTAGCATGGTTGATTTGGTTTGGATTTGTTTCATTTCTGTTGTTTCATGGGACACTGGCATTTCTCAATCTGTCTTTCACTTGCCTGATGCATGAGCGAACTGTTTGTGATTCATTGTTAGAATCAAATGAGCAAATATGTTTTTCTTTTAGTACAAACAATGTAATGCCTTCTATAAAGCAAATATGTTCTTGAACTTATCATGTAATAGACAAATTTGTAGTCAAAATATCAGAGGTCACTTGAGGTACGGTCTCACTTATGCTGCTTGTTAGGCTGGGATATTGTGATCTGTTGGGTTGGCTGTCCTCTAGCGGACAGGTAAAGGTTTTATTGGACATTTGAAACGGTTAAAAGTTTGAATCTAGCCGTGGCCCTTCTTCCTCATGGCGATATGAAATTACTAACTAAAATACAGTATTATTCGTACTGTATATAGGTACTCTATGAACTGAAACCTACATGAGAACAAAAGGGTGATAGGGGTATGACCTTGATTTTTGGCTATTTGTCTAAATATGTTAATGATCACATGCAAAGCTGTAAAATGATATCAGTTTTCCTTTGTTTTAATCTTGATGCACTTGGATTGTGTTTGGTTTTGCATTGGCTCAAATGTATTGTATTGTATAGGTTGGGGTTGCAGAAATGAAAGTTGCCATTGAAAAAACCGGTGGACTTGTTGTTCTGGCAGAAAGTTTCGGTCATTCTGTATTCAAAGACTCTTTCAAGCGTGTTTTTGAAGAAGGGGAACAGTCGCTTGGCCTTTGTTTCAAGTGAGTTCATAATTAACCTTTTGAGGTTTCTTTGTTCACATTTTGAGCTCCGTATTTTTGTTTGGTAATCAACTAAAAAGTTGTGATGCTAACAATATAGTTGAATTTGAATTGTTCTCATATGTTGTATTGAATGTGATTCTTGTAACTTATTAGTTTTTCTGATACACCTTCAGCATAGATATGACATATGAGAGTGAAGGTGCGTAAGGTAGTGAGTGGTGATTAGCATTGTAATACCATAATCTAGTTTGAGCCGCACAGTTGGTTTCTGTATTTATGATGCTGGGTCTGAATTTCGTTATGGAGAAAGGCTGCTTGATATGCAATGACAAGGTTGCCATTGCTTTAAGAGCCGTTAGCTTGTCAGCCCTTAGGTTAGGTATTTATAATATCCAATGCCTTGTTCATGTGCATTAACACATGTAAAAAAAATCCTTGTATCTTTTCCAACTCTTGTTTATGCTTCGACTTTTTCTTTTAACGAATTCTCTTTAAACTCTAATTATATATGTCAATATCATTACTGAAAATTATTTGTATCAGTGGTACACTTGAGATCAACTGTTCAAAGGACATCAAAATTCAGGGCATCATTGGACCTTGCACATCGTTGGAGAAGGTTAGGCAATTTGGTCATTTAGAACTTTCTTTGTATCTTCATTAATGGTATAGTTACAATCAATGAAATTTATTTGGATAAGGCTTGTGTTTGTGGAGTTTGATGTTAATTTTGCAAACCTGGCAGAAAGGACCTGCTGTTGCTGATACTGCTATAGGGGAGGGGAATACAACAGCTTGGAAAATGTGTGGCCTTGACAAGAGTACTTGCTTGACAGTTTTCTTTGATCTTTCATCTAGTGATCAGTCAAATACACCAGGAGCTGTAAATCCGCAATTGTATTTGCAGTTTCTTACAAGGTATGCATGAAGATTGTATCACGAGCGATGAAAACATCTTATGGTGATCTTTGGTAAAAATTGTGTTTTGTTATTTCTACTAGGAATGTGACTTGAGTTTCGTTGGTCACTTTTGTAATTGCAGTTTTCAAAACCCCGAAGGTCAAATGATGCTACGAGTAACAACAATTACTAGACGATGGATAGATAGCACTGTTAGCTCAGAGGTCATTTCAGTTTATATGTCATCTTTTGTTAGAACATATTTTTGTAAATAACTATAGCCATTGTAATAGCATGTTCCGGTGAAGCTTGGTTTTTTTGAATTTACCTTTTCCCTTGGGCATTCCTTGTTTATGTTGTATGATTGTGCTGTGACACATGCATACTGGCACACACATGTACTTTCTTACTGGGCATGTCCTAGTGGAACACAAGCTGCAAAGGTTTTTCACATGTAACTTTCATTAGCAAGATGTGAATGTAGGAATAGAAGCTGCAAAGTTTTTTTGAGATAATTTTCCCTCTATCACTTCCTCCAAATGACCAAATAAGGCTTCACTTTTCCTGTTTACTATTTTTTATGCATTTCCTTTTATGTATTCAAATAAGAGTTGGGTAATAGAGAAAGAATATAAGTGTATTATATAACTATATAATATGGTTTCATCACTGTTGTGTGAAAATTACAAAAAAATTGGCGGGATCGTGATTATTTTTTTTCGTGGTACAAGAATGAATAGACATGTTTGGATAAATAGTAATATTTATTAGTTCATTCGTTCTTCAATGTTGCAAATGTTTGTTTCAGATCGCCAAAAAGGAACTGTGTCATGTTCATGTTCAGTATGTGTCCTATGTGGCTGCCATGCTCTGGCACGTTGATTGGTCAATTGAGTGGTTGAATTGTCGTTTGTATATTTTCTTGTTAACGCTGCTATGAAATACTTGGCCATTAAATAGGAGCCTTATTTTCTTTGGCGTGATATGTTTTCTTATGACACAAATTTTCTTAAAACAGTAATTTCTTATTAATTACTGAGGGTTTTCAATACCATTTGGACCCCTTTAGCTCATATACCCTTGTTTCATAGATACATTTTCTTCCAAGATGTTTCAGAAGTGCATTGATTGAAAGGATATCACTGACACACAAGAATTTTGACCTAACAGGAATTGGTTCAAGGATTTGACCAAGAGACTGCTGCTGTAGTAATGGCAAGAAAAACCTCCTTGAAAATGGAGACAGAGGTATTTTACAACCATTCTCATCTTCTTTTATCTTGTACGTGTCTGTTACATCTCTTTTCCTCTTTTTGATGTTCATATCTCACAATTTTGGACTAACTGACACTGGGAGTTTCCAAAACAGAAATAATGAAGGCTTAATGTTTGGTGCACTCACTATCCTACATTTAGGACCTATATGGCACTCACTATCCTACAGTTGGACCTATATGGCACTCATTATCCTACATTTTGGGACCTATATGAAGGACATCGTTATTTATGCCCTAAAATTTTATCAGAGGATTTCTCTATATTTTAAAATTTTTTATTGTCTCTTTCATTTCATTGATTCTGTTTTACAAAACTCTTAACATAATTTACGGGTATGCACTTCCTCATTATGAATATTGTAGATCACTAGTGTTTCTTGGTTCTTCACCAACGAATTCTTAATTGATATTTTTGTTGTGACTTTTCAAACATAGAAGTCTAAAAAAATATTTTCCTTTGTTTTATCCAGGAATCTTTCGATGCTACACGATGGTTGGATCGGGGACTCATTCGTCTCTGTTCCAAATTTGGTGACTATCGAAAAGATGATCCGTCATCCTTTACTTTAAATCCATGTTTTTCATTATTCCCTCAATTTATGTTTAATCTCAGGCGTTCGCAATTTGTGCAGGTGACCACGATTTGCCCCTTCCTCTTCATCCTTTTAGTCTTGATATATTTTGCTTACTAGTGGCTAACATATTACCTTTTACCCCTCTTTGGGATCCGAAATGGGTTGTTTGCAGGTTTTCAACAACAGTCCAGATGAAACTGCCTATTTTCGCGTGTTGTTAAATCGGGAAAATATCACCAATGCGGCTGTCATGATTCAACCATCATTAATATCATATTCATTTAATTCTCTTCCACAACCTGCATTGTTGGATGTGGCTTCAATTGCAGCAGACCGGATTCTCTTGTTGGATTCGTATTTTAGTATAGTCATTTTCCATGGAATGACAATAGCACAGTGGCGTAACATGGGATACCAGAATCAGCCAGAACACCAGGTATGCATGCTTTATTTGTGATTCCCCTGACTTCTGTTGTGCAATGTCTGATATTGTCCCAACTAATTATATTCATATATTTATACATATGTATGTATGTTTTCAGGCATTTGCACAATTATTGCAAGCTCCTCATGATGATACACAGTCAATCATTCGGGACCGGTTCCCTGTTCCTAGATTGGTGGTGTGCGATCAGCATGGCTCGCAGGTTTTTAAACTATTCTTAGTATCTTATTTTCATTTGCCTATTTCCCTAATTGCAGAGTTAATAGTTTGAGTCTGGGCACGATTTAAAATTTGTTATAAGTTACAAATGAAAAGTAATGGTCAACCGGTAATGGCGGTTTGGTCTTTACCTTGTTATTGGTATGAGAGGGCCATGAGAAAAATGTAACAGTTGTTAATGTGCTGCAAGGTTCATGCCCCCTATATTTGCATGGGTGCCATTCTTTGGGATTGTTGTAAATTCCGTGCATTTAGGTCTTTATAATCAATTATTTCCAAAACTGACTTTAACAGTCTATTAAAGGTTTCTTGTCTTAAGATTGTTATTAGACTGTTTTGTAACCAAAAAGTTCAAGGTCAGCAAAGAAAATAGTTACTCAAATGTTAGTGCTATGTTCATGTAGTAAACCTTTGCTAGTGATTAACTGTTGATCTTACTTAATTAATTTAGGTGGATTAATTTGTTTGAGTTTTAATTGTGAAATCTTTGCTATTGGCCAAGAATCACTTCACCCCACCCCTCTCTCTCTCTCTCTCTCTCTCTCTCTCTCATGGGATACCTATCTGGTCTTATTTTCTATTGTCATGATCTGTAGGCAAGATTCTTGTTAGCAAAGTTGAACCCGTCGGCAACATATAATAACGCCCACGAGATGGCTGCGGGTTCAGATGTAATCTTCACAGATGATGTAAGCCTTCAAGTTTTCTTTGAGCATCTTCAGAGGTTGGCAGTGCAATCTTGAGAGCCAGATACAATTTCATATTCTACAGCTACACTCGATTTTGGTGCGGGGAAACTCAGTCGGTTTAAATTTTCTATCCCCTCTCATCCTCCTGTTTCATTAAATTGTTTTCCTTTCATTCCAATGTATCTAAGACAAGAGGTCAGACCCCACATTCTTTTAATAAGAAAAAGCTCACAACAATTCTTTGGGGTGCAGGGAAGGTATGTACTTCCTTGATAGAATAAGGGACACAAAGATGAAATGAGTTTGATATATGTGGAAAGAAAGGTATGACAGGGATGTAACTCAAGGAGGCTCGGAGCCAGTCAGTAGGATCTTTTGTGAGGTTTCTTTCTTCCCTTTTTTTTTCTTTTTCTTTTGTATTCAACCAGGTCAGGAGGTATTTTCTTGTGTGTCTGAACTTAAGTTATACTCTGATGGGTTTATGAAGCTAGGCTGTATTTACTCTAAAATATACTAGGCCCAAAAGAATGTTTGGATTCATTCAGGTTGAAATTGAGTACATCAAATGTTATTGGGATGTTGCCGTTATAATGATTTCACAATATGAAATGTTGCCGTTGATTATCCAATTTTATGTGCAAACATAGTGCCGAGGCCATTTCCATTTCCATTTCCATTTCCGTTGGGTTTAGGAACTTGTTCTCCTTGAATTGGACTCAGCTTAGCCCCCAACCTTTTTGTTTTGGTAGTTCTACCTTCCTTTTCTCTGTTTCTTTTCTTTAATAGTCTTCATTTCTAGACACATTCAAGTCTAATTTTCATGTTAAAAAGCAAATTTTTGGTTAAAAAGGCTGAAACACTTTTTAGTATTTTGTTTATATTTATAACTGGATTTCAAAATCACTTCTGGGGAGAAACAAGCACCTTTCATGTGATTCTCCATATAATCACCTCTGATTTTTCATAGAATCACTTAAAACTACTTAAGTGATTATTTGAAGAAGTGATTCTCCATAAAATTGATTATTGACATATCTAGAAACACGCTCAAATGAGCCCTTAATAAGATAGAAAATCAACCTTAGTTAAGTCTCTGAAAATTCCAAAGATAAAATTCCAAAGATAACCCTTGATATAGTCAGAAATTCCAAAACCAGACTAATTGCCCAGTAAAATTTCTGAAGCCCATTGCCAAGGTGCCAAATATTGTTGCTGTGCTGAATATTTTCAGTTTGTTCTTTGGGCACCCATATTTAGAATTTTTATTTTTATTTTTTATACAAACGATATTCTACTTTAAATTAATCTAAACAACGGAGAAGGGATTCGAACTCGGGTGAAGAGTGGGGCCCAAGCCCATGTTTGCAATTTAGAATTAAATTAAAACTTAGAGAAATATTCTCTGGCCACCCAAACATTTTAAAACTTTGGTCATTGTGCTTGGACCCGAAATCACACTTGGTTATTGTTGTTTTAGTTTTTAAATTGTAGTCATCGTGTGTGATTCCATTAGCAGTTTATGTCCAACCCTATTTCTCAACAACATGATCATCCAACCCATCTGGAGAGCACTAGGAGAGACTATTTCATGAAACATGTAGAGGACCAAGACTCTTTCGTGGGAAACAAGGAAGAAACCCTAGCTATCAAGACTTTTCTCTCCTCATAGAAACGAGAGAGCGACCCAACCATATATATGAATTTATGACAACCATAGGTTAAGGCCTGGTTTTTATTTTACTTTTTTATTTTGGTAGAATTTGGAATTATGATGCCTATATAAACGCCAAGCTTGTACTAAGAAAAAGAAAGAAAAAAAACCCTAACTTGAAATTAACAAAGCTCTATCAACTCAGATTCATTAATTACCTGCAGTTGGTGGTTTCAATAAAGAGAAGGAAGGTTTGGAGTGAAAAACTCAAAACTAACCACGTGTTATTGTCACGCCCCGAATTTCCCACAACAATTAATCTGCGAATTTAAACAGAACAACCAACAATCCGGGACGCGAAGCTCGGAACCTTCAACAAAAGTACCTAGAAATTTAAACTTTTCTTTCTTGATACAACACCACTGTTCCGAACCACAATGTCAATAATGACTCAACTCTTCTGAGTCAAATATTACATTACAAACTCACAACATAAATGAACAATCATCATTTTACATAATATGCTCCTCAGAGCTTATTTCACACAGCGGAAGTCTAACACTCACCAACACTCTCACACCACAATTTTACAGTATGTGGAACCACCAATGAGCCTCCTGCTCCTCACCTTAATTCTCCTGCTCACCGTCTCCACCACCTGCAGGATTTTCCCCTACACCATTGAATAGTGCACCGGGTTCACCACAGAACAACCCGGTAAGCTTTCTAAAGCTCGTATGAGTAAACCACGTCCACAGTATAATATGTCAATTTCACATAATATACAAACACATGCACTTTCATTAGCACACCACAATCCTTGTATAACCAAGGTAATCATAATCATCAATATCATCACAATCACAATTCTTTT